CTCTTCCAACTTGAGTGATCACACTTCTGCAACTGATCTCAGTAAATGTAATAATGTCACAGAAAAAGAGATTCCAATTTCCAGCACACCCCTTATCAACACTGTACATTTTAAATGTATGTGCTAATTCATGTCTTTCTTCTACAATAATCACCTTAATGCCAGCTTACTAATTAATTTTAAAACTACTTATCTGACTCTGGCCCGCAAGGGTGCAAATGAATGATCTCAAATGAGCAACTGTCTCCTAAAGAAGGCACATTCTGTTTCCAATTTACCCATTATCGACTTTTTACATCCTAAAACATGCAACTAACCCATGTACTATTTCTTGACATTCTTCTAGGTTTGTCTGTGCAGCTCATTTGTAAAGTTCTTCTCCGACTCGATCCACACCATTGTTAAACAACTCTCACTAGTGCAACTGATCTCAGCAAGTGTCACAGAAAAAAAAAGCTCAATTTCCCAGCTCGCCCTTAATCAATCTCTTAGGACTCTCATAAGTTAAGTCCAAGACATGCAACTAACCTAGTGCTGAATTTAATTCTTGAAGTTCTTCCACACCGACTGCCTTCGCAACTCGTTTTAACTTCTTATCGGACAAGGTTCCAACCCACACGAATCCCCTTCAGCACATTGATCTCCGGAAGAGTTGCAGAACTTCACAATTCTGTTTTCAGTTCACTCTTTAATGACTTTGTAAGTAAAATCTATAATGTACCACTGTCTAACTCGTTAACGGCTGATGTTGTTCTACATCCACCACCGACTATACTATACTGGAGGGCTCGGATCAATCTCGGATCAATACAAACTGAATATCACATATCCACATGCCTGGCTGTTTATACAGAAGCTAGGAGAGTGTGCATATGGATAATCAATATGTGAATTTATTATTCGTCTTTTTAATTGCAATCTGCATTGAAGAACAGTGGTCTGTTTTGGTCAGGTCAAGCAAAACAATTACCAAATTGGAGGACCATTAAGTGACCAGAATATTTGATCAGGGATTGAGCAGTTTGAGCTATTGCCATGCTGGTCTTACTAGGCCAGAGGGCAATTAAGGTCAGAAACTTCAAGATTTAGTCTTTGAAATCTTCAGGGGGTGTGGCCATATTAATGGATTTAAAAAGACTGAGAAAATCTCATGACTTCAATCATTTTAAGCCCTGCATAACATGCAAATGATCTTGATAATATTGCTAATACATGATTAGATATTTTTAAGCTAAAAAATAACCTTAACAAACTGCAACTTAAAAAAAAATTGCTAAATCTTTTATCTTTTTATCTATTTATTGTTATTATTATTATTATACTTTTTTGGGGGAGGGGGGTGTATTGCTAATGCTAGCATTATAGCAAGAGTAAACCTTGTTATAAATTAATAATTCATATATTTTTGACTCATGTCATCGTAATGGAGGCCCTGACTATGAGTAAAGACAGAAGAAGTTTATGTCTATGATTGCTGTGCATCTATCTAATGTGCCATTAACTTCCTTTTTCTCTCTCTACTTCCTCCTTCCTTCCTTCTCCATGTGTGTGTGTGTGTGTGTGTGTGTGTGGGAGGGGGGGGGGTGCATTGTCTACGTGATAGTGTAATCAAATAAACACCCCAAGCTTGTCCAAGAAATACCAAATTGAATTAATAGGAAAAAATCTATTGTAACCACACAGCAAGATTATTGTTAATTACACACAACCATGTTCAAATAATTCAGAGTTTACAATACCTGTTGTTTCCCAATGTGACAGAATAATAGATTTTATGAAGTTCTGTTTTCAGGACAAAAGATAAAAGGATAATAGAGAAAAAGAAAGCAATGAAACTGAGTATCAAGCAGGAAATTTCTTCCTATATCTGTAGCCATTCTTTAAGTTGCATGTGGTATTTCTTCGTAAATTTCAACACCACACTCATTCCAAAATTTTATTTTTTTGAGATTCAGCACTTCTTGGTTTAATGTCTTATTCACTTTCAGGCCTCATAAACTATAATTGCCAACTGCGAGCTTAAGTTTTAGCTTGGTGAAATGTTTTGTGGTGAACATTAAAAAAAAGCTGGCACTTACCATGTTCACATAAATAAACCTTAGTGAAAAAAAAGGTTAGGTAAAAGGTACCCCCCAAAATGAATTTTCCTGGTGAAAAAAATCATAGTTCTGCCCATCTTTGCACATGGATTTAATATTCCATTCCATTTTCAATACAATGGTTTATTTCTACATGACAACCAACACCTTGTTTTCATTATCTAAAAAGGTTGACCTTGCAATACACTCTTTTTATCGATACAAATTTTGACCTTCCAAAACCCAAGATCCTCTTTTTACCAATATCAATCTAAATGAAATGACCTTTCAATACATAACTTATATATATATCGCTGTTAAAAAAATTTTGAAATGGAAAGTCATGGCAGTTATGCTTGAGACACCAGACAGAAAAAAATTGTAAATGATAGCGCTGAATAACATTACTTCTTTGTATCCAAAAATAGACAAAGTTATAGGTTCTCTGGCAACATTGATATAAATAATAAATCAACTCCTCAAACCGTAGTTTATTGGAAACCTTGAGCATTAACCAAACTTTTAGATACAAATTGAAAGGATTCCCTAGTTACATTATTTTACCAAATCTTCAAAATCCTGGCACTATAAATGATGAGGCGCCATGAACAACATTATTTCATCTCAACAAGAGTGAAATGAGATATTTGATCCCCTGAGTATCATCAGAAAATGTCATCAATCAGTTTCTCGTTCTCAAAAAAGCTTTATAGATAATGCCAGAAAGTGTGAAAGCACCCCAAGTGTCACAGTCAACCTTGCACCATTAAACAGTTCCTATTATCTTTATTATAACATCTATAAGGTAGAAAATTCTATGTAGAGAAGAACTCATACTGGTACTATGACAGACATGGGGAAACTGTTGCTCTGACCGGTCATGACTGCCTTAAAAATCAGAGGATGGGCAAGATTTTTGATAATGTACGGGGTCTTCTTGACCAGCAAGGTTTATGTGGAAATACAATACATAAAAATGAATCATAGGGATCCTTGACTAACAGACCTGCAGGGAATTAAGAGGACCTGCAAATTTCTTGTAGAGCAGGACCTCCGGACCTTCAGTACCTCCCAAAGTTTTCCCCATGTCTGCTATGAAATTCAGAGTGATATAAGCCAGGTAGAAAAGAGTGAACGTCGATACTGAAACTTAGACCCCATTCCCAGAGATTATATGGATCCAACTAGATCGACCTAACTCCCTGGGGGTTCACGCTAAATAGCTGTCAGCCGAGCGGGCGCGAAAGTTAATTACCCCCTTACAGCTTGTAGTAGGCGGGACGGACATTTAAGCCGGATTATCTGACAGTAATCTAGTGAGACTCCCCACGGGGATAGATCGATCTAAAATCTATGGGAATGCGCCCTTAGGGTGAAGGAAATTATATGCTGGACTAAAGATAATCCATAACCAGTACTCTGAATTTCAGGGTGATGAATAAAAGAGAGTCACATTCATTGCCCTTCTGATACTGAGAAAGGACAGATTTGATGCCTTGTATAAATGTCAAATTTTGAAGAAAAAATTTAAAAAGAACTAATGACATTTAATCATGTCCTCAGAATGAAAATTTGTAGTACATATTTCTATATAGATTAAGCACCTTTAGTCAGTTATAAAATACATTGTTAAGTCAAAGTCAACGACTGTAAAAATGTACTGTACTTGTATCAAAATAAATAATATAAATAAGAAATATATTGAGGTAAAGATGGCAAAAGTCAAATATGCTGGCTTTTTCTTCAAGTTACTGAAAAAAATCTCACTGGTAGAAAATGAAACCAGTATTAAATAATTCATACCATTTTCAAAAAAAAAAAAAAAAAAAAAAAAAAAAAAAAAAAAAAAAAAAAAAATTGCTGATCATGATAAACCCAAAATCACAAAGACATGGCAAATTTTATTTCAAACTAGTAACCAAAGATAAATGATTTGTTTAGTAAATTCTAAGAGGCAATTTGTCTTGGGAAGGACAGCACTGGAAGTTTTCATTTACTGAGTACCAATCACTTGACAATCCAGAAAAGGAAGCAGGAACATATTTATCTTTTCAACAAAAGCCTGTAACTGATATCCAAGGCACTGCTATACAATGATGTAAACCAGGATATTGCAAAAGCAAAATTAATCAGATCTTGAACAAAAGATATCTATATGACATTACATACAGGTGAAATAAGGAGAAGGAGGCTATAACACAATCATCTTCTTGTTAGGGAGACCTGCAGCTAGCGAGAATTTTCAGAGGGGGGGGGGGGGGGGGGGGGCTGAAAGAGTGGATCTTTTTAGCCCAAAATTTTTGTTGATCCAAGTTGAGAAACAGCAAACTAACTAGATCAAATTTTGGTTGAGAGTTAACCTTTCAAGTCAAAAAGGTAGTTTTTAATCCCCAAAGCCCTGCCTTTTTTTATGACCTAGCATGTCTCTAGAAATTACATGAGAATGCATAGAAACCATTCCATCTTATGTATTTTTAGCTTCTGTGAAGAGTTATCTGCAAGAGCAAATATCATGGTCATGCAAAAACAGTATTAGCGCCCAGTATATAATAACTAGCTTGACTCTCTCGTTACAGACGATCATGTAATGGGAATTATTAGCTGCTATCTTTCCTACCACCTGCATTCATTTCCATTATTACTGACAGGCAATATAAAAACTTTACATGGCGCAATCATATCTGCATGTATAAAATAAATAAATAAATAAATAAATAAATAAATAATGGATGTATATAAAGTCATTCATTTTTTTGTAGAAAATTGCTTGAGAAATCATGCAAAGTTTGGCAAAAATTGGGAAGCTTTGAGACTGATATTAACATTAATCCGAAACACATCCTAAAGACCAGAGAATTTCATCAGCTGTGTTATGTTATAAGAAAAAAGTAATTTTTCTTCAATCAACAGCTAATATATTACCTTTAATATTCCCTGATGAAGATGATCTGAGAGACATTGAAATATTGAAGGTAATATTAGCTGTTAAAGGGACAACAACTCTTCGTATGAAATCTATATTTCATAATAAAAACATTGTAAAAAAACCAAGGAAATATAATATAATATATTCTATTTCATCACCAAAAATGGCATTTAAAGCAATTATTCTAAAATCTGTGCTTGTCATCCAACCATGTGACCTCCATAGATGGCTATAGTCTGTAATAATCTCTTAAGAGATTATTACAAAAAAGCAAACTTTCTAGAAAAAAACCAGGGACTAAATTTGAATGTAGAAATGGATTCATTAACCATTGGTAAGAATGGGAAAATTGTTGTTTACCCCAGGAAAATACATTTTTAGGCCAAAATGAACAACTGTTATCCCTTTAATATCAGGTTTTGATTGAAAAAAAAAATTCTTAGATACTAAAGGCACGTGAAGTCATAAGAATAATGCTTAAATGTGTGTAGAGACATATTTCGTAAGAGAAATTCAATTCTGAACTGATCTGCGATTGTGATAGAGCTACGCATCAAAAAGTGAAGCTCTTGTGTCTTCTATGATTTGATTTGTGCTCTGAAAAATGATCTGCATCTGTCTCCTGTACTGTTCATTATATAAGAATCTACTCGTCATAGATTCTCAATAGTATTCATTATCTCTAGACTTATCTGGGGAATGGAAAAAAAGAAAAAAAGAAAGAAAGATTCTGCAATAAATAAATAATCTTTGCATTAGTTAAAATGATACTTGACTTGATCTTTGGTCCCAGCTTGATGCATCAATTGATATTTACCTGTGTTCTGGAAGCACTGGTCTGGAAATTCTTGAATTTCTATTCAAGTGGTATTTATTCATCTTCTTCTGTCTATTCACGGTGTTAGAGGCTCTCTGTAGACTTATACTGGCATAGAAATCAATAAGAAATGTCAGCTTCAATTTTATCACTCTTCATCGAATAGATATCGACTTTTTGACACATGTTCTGCAGTTAAAAAAAACTCTGGGTAAATAAAAGCTTTGGTTATAATCACGTGTGCATTTTTTATAATGACTATAATAAAAATTATTACGTTTTTCACTGGAACAAATACTTTACCACAGTCATGAAATGTTATGTTACAGTACTAGACGAAGTTTGCATATTGTCAGTTAACGGCTCTATTATCTATATATTTAGCTATAATAATAATAATAATAATAATAATAATAATAATAATAATAATAATAATAATAATAATGTCAAGGTTTAATATTAACATTTTAATGGGCCACTGGCAGAAACTTTATAGTCCAAATATTACTAGGTCATATCCATTTCAGAAGTGAAAGAAATCAAACCTTCTTAAGCTGGATATAATATAAAGTTACCCAAGCACCCTGAGTGTCAGAGTAATGTTATTTACTTACCTCTTCCCATCATTCAGTGCACATATCATGGGTACTATGCACTGAGATCTTCTATGAGGGTTTACTGTGGACTCGGAAAATCAGGGTATCCCCAAGACACTTCCGTTATTTCCTTCAGCAGCTGTTGTCTTACTCAATCACAGGATTGGTGTGATAAGGCATCTGAAGAAAAATTACTCTTCTGAAATAATCAATGAAATATGGCAAATTAACTTGGGGGTAATTGCATCCTTAAACTCTTTGCTAGATATATTGAGGAGTTTAAAATTACATGATAAAACAGTCATTTTCTTTTATCCAATATTGTTTTATGACTTTTTTTTCTTTTAAATTCATGTATTTTCTTTATGTATTAAAGATACTCTATAGCCACGCTCACAACTGGACGCACAGATTTTTAGGATCGCATGTCCCCTGCGCATATTGCGTGCAGTAGAATCCGTGGAAGTCGTAGAGGTAGAAGATAGTCTGCCTTGAGAGTTGCAAGGGCCAAATGAGATGTCCTTTCAAGCAGGGACGCTAACTGCAAGGTGCAATCGCCGTAGAAATTGTACTCATTTCTTGAGTATGTGCAAGAACTCGCTACTATTGAAGAGAAAGCATCGCACGGCAAAACCATTTCTCTTTTGCTTCACACTTGCCCCACACACTTGTGATGAGGTACTAACCGCGTACGTCAGTTTTGCCTATTGTTCTCCCCTTCTTTCTTCTTCTTTCTCCCATTCTTTCTTATTTTTTCTCCCTTCTTTTCTGCTCTCTAAGGTTTTTTTCTTGCCTTTTGGAGGCATATTAGAAGCTGAATTAAGCAAAATTCTTATTTTTGAAAATTGTTGTACAGGTTGCATGATTGTCGTTAATTTTCGAGACACGACCATGCGTCTTGAGTACTCCTGACGCACGTGCGATGCACTTCTGTGGTGATTTCGATTTTGATCGTTAGTTGTGGGGGGGGGGGGGGGGGGCGCTGTACTCAACATGCAAAGGGCACTTGCTCCTCTATTGCTTTCATAAATGAACTCCTTGCGAGTGAAGCAAGTTATGTTTGCGGCCCTGCTGTTTGCAGATTATTCATAGAAGCTTTTGGACATGTCCAACATCCTCCAAATGTGCATGCGGGCTATCTTCGAAACCCAAATTTCGAAAAAGGGATTTGCATTGCACGTGACATTATGCACAAAATTTGGACGCAAATAGGCAGCAAGAGCCCATGGGGCTGGTTGCGACCGAGGCTTATATATATGATTTACCTGCTAAAAATGGGGGGAGGGGGGGGGGGGAGGTAAGCACATTTTTCATACTCACAAATTACTGCTCAACCCACCCATGCACTTTGATTTGTCGTTTTCTTCCATTTTTAATCTAATGACTTAGTTCTAAATGACTGGCCAGTGAAATTATATATAAAATTGCATACAGGAATAATATCTATAGTCTTTATTCATTGCTGTCAGTGTCTTTTATTTTTATTGTACTTACACAGTGAGTTATTATAAAACAGCGATCATCTAGAGATAGCTAGCTCTGATATTTATTTAGATCACCAACCAGTGTATGAGAGAGAGAGCTAGAGAGAGAGAGAGAATACCACTGTGACAGTGCTATGATAATCTAGCTACAGTGCTGATCGATAATTAACTGTTTTAGGCCACCCTTATTCTCATATTTCTTTGTGTACTTGTATAGCTGGTACTTAGGACAAATGAAAAAAAAAAGCCTTTATATTAATTGTTACAAGTGTGGGGAGGGGAGCGCAGTGACAACATTTAACGTTACATAATATTTTATATTTTTCATGTGTGCTTTAATTATTGTAAATATGAGTGAATATGAGGCTCTTAAATGTCAATGCAAGGTAAGGGATACTCAATCAAAATACAGTCAATGTGATTTTCCTGTATAATCTGGGTATCTACAGGAAATATATGAATTTATTTATTAAACAGACATGTACACACACTCACATTCTCACACAGCCCACTATGATAATTATTTCTTCCTATTTTTTTATCGTCAGAAGATCATTGATTATTTTCGCGGTAGTAACACCTAACGCTAATTACTTCCACACAGCGTAGTGAATGTGTCATGACCTCAACATGCGACTCGTATGCAGAATTGCACCCGGCACCAGGCAGTGACCAAGCTTTAATTTATCGTTTTGAATAGTGGCAGCTATATTTATACAAGTAATGCAAAGAGCCTCTCAAAACAAACATTTACATGATGCGAAAATATTCACTGAATGTCAAGCAAAAGCTGGACAAGAGACACCGCAATACACGTAAATTCACCAGGAAATCACTGTAGGGCCCAACTCTAAAGCTACTGCGACCTTGTCGCTGTCTGTGACATCCCGTTGGTGACCAAATTTTCACAAACTGTAAACAACACATGTAATCGATACAAAGAGAAACCTGGATGCAAGTTCTCTTATACTAACCAACATCTCTACATATCCCTGTTGCCTTCAGTTGCATGATGACTGTTACAAGGCTATCACTCTAACTAAAGTCCGTCCCAGATGTCAATAAACCCTTGGCTGTGAACTTAGTGAGGTTGCTGTTGCTACAGTTGTTCCTGGGATGTAATTTCAAGTAGGTGGCGCAACTAATGCAATTTGACTGCAAACCGAGAGTAAATTAAATTATCGAAAAAATTGACAATAATGAAGTACTCGGAAATTTATCAATTTAAAATTTAATCCATTTTTATTTTAAACTTTATGATATAGAAATTCAGGATATTGGCATTGCAAAGTTTTTAAATAAAATTCTGTGCGGATGTAGAACCTTGACTTCCGGTTGTAAGCATTGCGATCTATCATTTACATTGTAGACCCTGTTTTATATGATGGCAGAGGAGGGGGAAGAAGATAATTTGAGCTCAGACAGTGACGACGAAGATTATGTTCCATCTGGTAACCATTTCTGACGTTTATTTTTGTATAGATGTAGATGAATCTTTTTCAAGAACATAATTGGAATGCTTCTGTTCGTCTGTTGACTTTTCTCTTATTGTCAAAAGCAGATGAAATGGTATTTGCCTTTTAGGTGTATATTTGTTGTTGTAAATTTGGATGTAAAGGGATAAAATTCAGTCACGTTTTCGAATTACCTTCTCTTCCCATGTCATGTAACCTTTATTTACTTGTAACGAGCATTTTAATTGCTAACTTTTTTTTTTTTTTGGGGGGGGGGGGGATGTGTGGTAACATACTCAAGGAAAAAATTAGAAAAATGTATATTTGCTAAAATGAATAAGGAGTGAAATAAATAGGATACAAGTAAACAAATGTTAACTGCTGTTAATATTACTATTAGGAAAGAGATGACATAGAGAGGAAATTAACGTGCAAGTCCTGTTCAAATTATGCGACATTTGACAGTTGTCTGATTTTGTATTTTTGATATTTAAAAAAATCTTTTTAAGGTGGGGATGAAGGCAGTGAAGAAGAAGCTTCAGGTGAAGAAGAAGAATTATCACTCTTGAAAGAAGATGATATTGAAAATGGCATAAATAAAAATACAAAGAAAAGAAAAGGAAAGACAAAGGGTAGAAATGATAAGGAAAGCTTTTTTGGGAGGTATAGTTGTATATATTGTGCACCAGTCATTCTTTTTGTTAAGATAATATTGTTAATGATAATAATGATTTTTAAATATGATAGAAATAGTAACCATGATAATGATGCTTATAATAAAATTGCCAAAGGTGCCCTACCAAGATTTTTAATACTTGTTACAATGGGTTTTATATTTAGAAGACAGGATCTATACTATAGTAAAGTTAAGATTTCTTTTAAAAACAACAGCCCAGTGCCTCTAAGTCATTGGGCCATTCATTTATTAACTACTTTTAACGACTCAAATATCATACTGTTGACTTTTCATCTATATCTTCTTTTATTTTAGGCGTTTAATCATTTATAACATCTGAATTGGGAAAGATAAATAGTTTTGCCAAATAAGTCAACAAAGAAAGTATGACCTTCAAAGTTTGGGACATTTTAAGATGTAAGGTAAACCTTTAAAAAGTAATCCCCACTGTAAATTGATTGTTAAAACTATTTTGTTTATTAAGCAGGAAAAGAAAAGGAGGAATAAAACTTGAAGATGAAGACAAGGATGGCAAAGAGGATGATGAGCAACAAGAGTCTAACATTGTAGAAGAGATGAAAAAAGAACAAGAAGATGTCAAAGAACTGAAAGAAAAGCAAAAAGCAGATGATCTGTGGGCTAGTTTTTTAAGTGACGTTGGGCAAAAACCCAAGCCAAAACCAGCTTCTGTCCCTTCAGGCCTGGGATCTCTTTCCTCAGTGACAAGTATAAAGGTGTGTTAGCATGGGGGTTAGTTCAAAGCTCTCATGTCTCAGATACCTACAAGATTTCCATGTATTCTTTGTGAGTGGTGGACGTTAATTTGGATGTTTTTTAAGGAAATTTATTGAAATCATGATCAGAATCCCTTCAAGTGTTGTTTCCAGTAGTTAACCTCCAACAACTTAAACATAAAACTAGATTACTAGTACAAAATTTTGAAGAATTTAGACAACTTGAGTAATGAAAACAAAAAATTCCCTTATATTATTGCTATTCCTTTGTTTAACATAATTTTTTCTTTTTTTACTTTCATTTTTATGTGTAGCCTAAATCAGTTGAGTCTGCAGCAGATTTGAAAGCCCCACCTCCTGAAAATACTGCATCCAAAGAGATTGGCCCTCAGAAAATCACAGTGACCAAAGTGTTTGACTTTGCTGGAGAGGAAGTCAAGTGAGTCACCAATCAATAAATATAGGCTGTTTTAACAGTCTTATTATTATTATTTTTTTTAAATATATGATTTAACATGCAGTTGGCAAGATCCTAATATTTTTCACTGATACTGTCATGTTTTGACCATTTGTACATCCTTAACGATTTTTATGCCGTTTTCTATTGGAATTACTAAAAACTCCACATGGACACTTTGAAATGTGAAAATTTGTTTTAGTCCTTTTAGTGTTTTTAGTTGGGCAGTGTACATATTTATTTTTAGCTTTTGCCAAGGAAAAAATCATTCCAAAAGATTTGACCAAGTTATTATTATACAGTTGGAAGTTATGCAGTGAGTCTGCTGTGTATGACAAGGAATATCAAAACTCTCCTTTTGTTTCTTCATTTCAGGGTCACAAAAGAAATTGAGGTCAATTCTAAAGAAGGTAAAAAAGAGTTAGAAAGAATGGAAAAGGAAAAGAGCACTGATGTCTCAAAACCAGGGTAAGTGACAATATCTTAAAATTGAAGTATTCTCTTTGCATTTTTGTGACACCTTAAAGCAATAATAACTCTTCGTTTCGGCCAAAAAATGAATTTTCCTGGAGTAAACAACAATTTTCCCATACTTACCAATGGTTAATGAATCCATTTTTACATTCAAAGTTAGTCCCTGGTTTTTTTCTAAAAAGTTTGGTTTTTTGTTAAAATCTCTTAAGAGATTTTAACAGAGTATAGACATCAATGGAGGTCACGTGGTCTAAAGACAAGTTCAGATATCAGAATAAAAGCTATAACTGCTGTTTTTTGGTAAAACAGAATATATTATATTTCTATGAGTTATTCACAAGGTTTTTACTGTGAAATATAGATATCATACGAAGAGTTATTATCCCTTTAAGTGAATAGATTGTGCATTTAGTGCATAATTCTTGTTTGTAAAATTTCAATAAAATGTGTGTGCAATAGTTTCAGATATATTTACCCCTAATGTCTTTTATTTAATTTGATTGTATTCAGAATGAAGAGACCCATGGGTTTGGGGAGTGTTCTTGGGAAGATTGGGAAGAAACCAAAACTAAGTACTTTGGTAAGAATAGGTCTTTAAATCTTGAGAAGAAATAAAAGTCGAGGTCTATGGGAAGTGCCAGAGTCTTCAAAATCTTCTGGAAAAAAGTCAGAAACGGGTGTTTATAGGAATGTGCAGAGACTTGTCAGGATAAACCTGAATTTCCAGAGCTTTATGGTTTAAAAACTTTAAAACATTATGTCATCTTGAGTTCTCTTTAAGTCATTTATCTTTCATATTGTAATTTGTATGCAAGTTCATCCATCTGGTATTGTTTTATATCCTTTACTTAAGAAATGCAGTCCAAGAGTGTAAGTATTTTCAACAGGAGTGAATAGATATTTTTCTAACACTTTCTTTTCATGATGATTATTGTAGACCAAGTCGGCATTGGATTGGAATAAATTTAAGACAGAGGAAGGGATAGAAGAGGAGCTGCAGATCCACAATAGAGGGAAATCTGGGTATGTTTTTTCATGAATATTTTGCATACTGAGAAGAGCAGTGTGTGAGGAAAAGGAATGGTTTATTTTGCCCATATTTTCGCTAATTCTGAACTTAACTAAAAAATCCAAAGTCTTTCTAAATTTTCAAGGCTGTTAAAATATTAAGATTTAAATAAAAACTAGTAATTCAGGCAGCATTTTCATGTTTGAGTAGCATGAGTATTTGGTAGGATGAAACTGAAATCNTTAAAGCAATAATAACTCTTCGTTTCGGCCAAAAAATGAATTTTCCTGGAGTAAACAACAATTTTCCCATACTTACCAATGGTTAATGAATCCATTTTTACATTCAAAGTTAGTCCCTGGTTTTTTTCTAAAAAGTTTGGTTTTTTGTTAAAATCTCTTAAGAGATTTTAACAGAGTATAGACATCAATGGAGGTCACGTGGTCTAAAGACAAGTTCAGATATCAGAATAAAAGCTATAACTGCTGTTTTTTGGTAAAACAGAATATATTATATTTCTATGAGTTATTCACAAGGTTTTTACTGTGAAATATAGATATCATACGAAGAGTTATTATCCCTTTAAGTGAATAGATTGTGCATTTAGTGCATAATTCTTGTTTGTAAAATTTCAATAAAATGTGTGTGCAATAGTTTCAGATATATTTACCCCTAATGTCTTTTATTTAATTTGATTGTATTCAGAATGAAGAGACCCATGGGTTTGGGGAGTGTTCTTGGGAAGATTGGGAAGAAACCAAAACTAAGTACTTTGGTAAGAATAGGTCTTTAAATCTTGAGAAGAAATAAAAGTCGAGGTCTATGGGAAGTGCCAGAGTCTTCAAAATCTTCTGGAAAAAAGTCAGAAACGGGTGTTTATAGGAATGTGCAGAGACTTGTCAGGATAAACCTGAATTTCCAGAGCTTTATGGTTTAAAAACTTTAAAACATTATGTCATCTTGAGTTCTCTTTAAGTCATTTATCTTTCATATTGTAATTTGTATGCAAGTTCATCCATCTGGTATTGTTTTATATCCTTTACTTAAGAAATGCAGTCCAAGAGTGTAAGTATTTTCAACAGGAGTGAATAGATATTTTTCTAACACTTTCTTTTCATGATGATTATTGTAGACCAAGTCGGCATTGGATTGGAATAAATTTAAGACAGAGGAAGGGATAGAAGAGGAGCTGCAGATCCACAATAGAGGGAAATCTGGGTATGTTTTTTCATGAATATTTTGCATACTGAGAAGAGCAGTGTGTGAGGAAAAGGAATGGTTTATTTTGCCCATATTTTCGCTAATTCTGAACTTAACTAAAAAATCCAAAGTCTTTCTAAATTTTCAAGGCTGTTAAAATATTAAGATTTAAATAAAAACTAGTAATTCAGGCAGCATTTTCATGTTTGAGTAGCATGAGTATTTGGTAGGATGAAACTGAAATCATAATAATAATAATAATTATAGAAGATTTTAAAAAATTACCAAAATGATGCAGTTTGTAATTGCAGTGTTTTATAAATAATTTTAAATTGTGGAATGGATTTGGTTTGTATGAAAATCAATGCATTTTTACCTAAGAGAAAAAGTTCAATGTTAAGGAGTATTATGGAGCATTTACAGAATAGTTATGGTTTTTGTTTACATGCTAAAATTATTATCATCATAACACCTTTCAGGTACTTAGAACGGCAAGCATTCCTACAAAGGACAGATTTGAGACAGTTTGAACTGGAAAAAGACATGAGATTGAAGAATAGCAAAAGATTTGCCCCTCCAGATAAATGAGCAATAACATGGTCACAATAGTTACATTAACCTGCTCATGTTACTGCTTTTCAAGTGGAAAATGAAAGAGATGCTACACAGTAGGATCACCTAAGAATCAATGAATTGCATACTTGTAAAAGATGAGAGACACCCCTTTACCACCGCCAAAAAGTGATTTCATGTTGTCATTATAGACCCTTTTTCTTTACCAGTTTGGTCAAAGGTTTTGCACCTTTTTTGTCCAGAGCAGAAATCATGGTCCATGAAAGATAATTGATATGACTGTGTGAGACAATTTTAAGGTTGATTTGAGGAACTTATTTCCCAATTTTTTGACCCCAAATTTTTTAAAGATTTCTCAGATACAGATAATTTTTTTCCAATTTTTTCCTGAATTTATTATAGAAGACTTTTCAGCTGCAGAAAATTTTTTCCAAATTTTTTTTGTAAAAGTGTTTATCAAGTGCAACTTTTTTTCATTGATACGTCCTTTTTTAGGTGCATTTATATTGAAGTATGAATGACTTTGAACACTGGCTGACTGTTGTTCGGCTCCTGGAGCATAGTTGTATAGCATCTCTGCGGTTATAAAGACATACAAATGTATTACTTGGTATTTCATTTTATCATTTGGTTAGATCACATTTTTTATTCTCTTCAAAATTCAGAATAAAATTGTAGACACTTTTTATTGTGCTACAAAACCTGTTGTTGTAGGTTTCATATTTATAACAACAGAAATTGTCCAAATGCACGTGGATGGCATTCCATAAAGAAACTAGTGAAACAAGCTCTGCTGTAAAGAAAACTTGTTATAAAGAAAAAAGTGATGCTTCCTAAATGTGATCAGCAAAGCTATACATGGTTATTGTTATTATTATTTTTATCATTAAACTCAATTGACCTTTTGTGTTATGCTTATTTTGTAACTTGGTGAATACATAAAACGAATGAAAATATCTTGATCTTTATTATTTTTCCCTGTGATTGAATTATGCTTTCCGTTTAAGCAATATGAATTGACAGCTCTTTCAAATAAATGTAACAAAATTAAAAACGGACCATTCTTGTTGCATTATATTTACGGCACTGGTACAATGCTGATACAATATTTTAATAGTAAATGCCCCCCCCCCCCCCCCTCCAGCCAACAATACAGCCGCCAAACCGAGAGTACAATCTCAAAACACTTGCATACATGAGGTGATAATATTTCTAAACAAGCATAATGTATCCTTTGGCAAACGAAGAAAATATTTTTCAGAAAAAAATGGCCATATTCTATCCCGTCTTTTGACATTTAGCTTGTTTGTTTAGCTTGACGATAGATTGACCAATGAAAACGCATATTTTTGTTCAGTGCGGTGAGCAAAGCCAACTTCCGCACATATGCTTACTACACAGTAGTGTGAAAACCTGATCCAATGACTTATATTACGTAAGTTTTCTTGTAAGTAGATATTTATGATTCTGACTTGAAGCTAGTTATCTCTCGATAGCGGGTCATCTCAGTTTGAAAAAAATTTAATAAGATTTGGAACTGTGATTACCGTTTTTATTTGATAATCATAAGTTTCTTCAACGAAAATCTTATCCTGGGTCATAATGAATAAGATTGTTATTAATCAGTAATATTACATCTCTATCTGTCAATATACGTCTAAAGTAAACCACTGCTGGTATATGATAGACACGTACAATCGTTCATGTAGCAACTTCAGTCTGCGTGTGAAAATGTACTCAGATATGTATTGTTATTATTTACACCTTAGAAATTTAAGATAAATATGTAATTGATGTAATTGTGTGGCATACCATGCCTTATATTTTATCTATGGATACAGTTTCATGTGTCACTTAACCTACATTGTACACATACAGTTTTCAACTGATTGTGACACAGAATGAGAAATTAACATTTAATGATCTTAATCTGTACTTCTCCTCCCAGATGTTCATTTATTTTATTGCAAATAACAAACCATTTAATTGGAGTGTTCTGCAATTTGATTTATGTATTATCTGACTCTCTCCTGCAGTTTTCAATCAATTTCAGCAAAATCTTACAGGCATACAGTTTTGGTTAAGGCCTACATTTTGCAAGTACATAAGCCTGTACTTATGGACCTGAAAAAGGCTGAATGTAATTAGTTCTTGAATACTCTCTCTAATTTTCTCTCCATTTTTCCCCTTTGTTTATAGAATTTGCAACAATTTTGTAATATTTAAATTTCCATTTTTGTGTCTATTTATTTAGGTAGACCATTGAAGTAAAGAAGATATCTTCTGTCTTGGCTAGTCTAACTCAACACAATGATTTTCCACTTCACGAGAAAGAAACCCATGTGGGTTCTGGATCCACCACAAAATCAAATAAAAAGCAAATGTGTTATAAACTGGTAAATATTACTGGTGACAAACCATGGACCAGAAGCAAGTCAAGGCAGGAAAAGAGAGTCTTCTCATCCTGGAGAAACTTCAAGACACCTGCCCTTCAAGAACACCTGTCAGTGTGCTAGAGTGGACTCTGATAGACTACGATAATGCAGACATTGAGGTCATCCCTGAATCCATTAAATGGTGTTTCAATGTGAGGAAGATTTATGGACAACGCAATAAGCTCTCTTCTCTACCACAGTCTATTTCTGATTTGCAATTTCTCAAAGAGCTTTGGCTGGGAAACAACCAGTTTGAGGACTTTCCGTCATCAGTGTGTGATGTAACCCTCCTGGAATTACTGGATCTAAGTGGAAACCAACTACTTAAGATCCCAAGAGATATCAACAGGTTGCGCAATCTTAGGAGTTTGTATCTCAGTAACAACAAGTTCACAGATTTCCCCACGGCTGTTTGTGGCATCAGAAAGCTAGAAGAGCTACAACTTGACAATAATCAACTATCACAAATTCCAGACTCTGTGCAACAGATGGATAATCTCCACATTTTAGAACTTGGAAATAACGATTTCAATGCAATTCCAGACCATATATGTTCAATTCCAAACTTGGAAAAGTTATTCATGGAAAACAATGCCATTACACACATTCCTCCCAGCATTGGAAATTTACAGAAACTGAATAAACTTAAGCTGGATCAAAACAAAATCACTCATCTACCCCACGCGCTTGTGTCTGCCAAAAATCTGCTAGATATTCACTTGCATGATAACCCCCTTGTGGAGCCCCCTGAATCAGTTTGTTCTAAAGGGTTGGAGGCCATAGGAAGGTACTTTCATGAGCTCAAAGACAGCAAAGCTGTCCAGTCCAGCAGAATTCAGCTAAATTTGCTGGGGGAGACAGGCAGTGGGAAAACCAGTGTTTCACTTTCTCTGCAACGCGACAAGCCCACTCTCACTGCACAAGCCGACCGGACCAGAGTAATAGCGCAGGGTTCCTGCGAAACTCAGCCAGATATTGCCTTTAACATCAACGACTTTGGAGGACATGACGTGTACAAGGTTAGCCACCCAATCTTCATATCAAAGAATGGCATCGTGCTAATCGCTTTCAACTTGGTTACGTATAACCTGAGCAACCCGGATCACTACGGACTCTACATTGGAGATTGGATTGACAAAGTACAGGCACAGACTCCAGGCATGAGGATTGCCCTTCTGGGAACACATTTCGATGAAGTAAGCACAGAGGCTGCAATGACGATACGCCAAGCCGTTCTGAAACAAATGAAACAACACATGGAAAAGAAGAAGAGATGGTTGAAAACCCAAGTGTCAAACATTGATGAGAAGATTGAAGATTTACAGCAGAGTCCAGAGCAGGAGGAGATAATTCAGGCTTACAGAGTGAAACAAGGCAGGTTGTCCAAGGCAGCCAACCATGTGGTGGACGTTTGTGACCATGTCTTTATGGTCAGCTCTAAGACCATGGAGGGGTATCCTCAGCTCAAGGAGTACCTGTCCAACCAAGCCCAAAGGTGGGCTGTCAGCCTTCCAGGAACTTGGGTCCAAGCTGCCAATGCCATCCGCATCCAGAAATATGAAAATTCCAACAATACCCTTGACTGGGTTGCTCTGCAGGAGGTCATTTCCCAGCATGCACCAAGATCATGGCAGAAAAGAAGCCCAACTGAGAAGCGAGTAGTCATTTGCGACATTCTTAGTTTTCTTGCCAGCCGTGGTGATATTATCTGGTTTGACACTAGCCCCACTTTGGCGAGGGTTATCTTCCACAAACAGGAGATCCTCGCCGGCCTGCTCAAGGCTGTGCTGAACCACGACCTGGAGCACCTTATGGTCAAGCTGCTGCGCCCACTCAAAATAAGCCGTCCAAGATTGGAAGACATCAGAGAGGACTTTGCGGTCAGAGGGATAGTGTCCAAAGATGTGATGAAGTGCCTCTGGGGACAGTTTCACCTGTCCTCAGTGGAGACAGAAGTCCTGGTGGAGCTCCTGCAGCAGCTGGAGCTGTGCTACCAAGTGGAAAAGGGAACTGCTGTGACTCCAGACACAACCTTTCATTTCCCTTGGTTACTGACTGAAGACAGGCAGCAGGAGGTAATTGTATTTAAATTTAGTACACTTAATGTTAGAAATGGTTTACTTTTACAGTTTTTTACTATTTGTTTAAGTGTGGGTTGCGCATGCTTGCACTAATAATCTTACAGATATTTATTAAAGTTGTTTTTGATAGCTATCTATTCTGAAATGTTTTATGCCATAAATATTTCACCAGATAACGCATCAATTTATAACAGTTTAAGTAGACTTATTTGCAAATCTGTCCTCTTTATCTTTCCACTTAAACAGAAACAAATTAATTTTTTCTTAAAACTGCTTTACGTAATTGTTTTTTTTTTTAACTATCAAAATATTGCAGAGGCTACTTATGGATAGCAATGATTTTTCTCTATATATTGATCCATCCAACAGACAAGGACAAACATTCTGATATTATATTCAATTATTTTTTTGTATTTTTTTTACTATGCTAGTTGGAGGAAAAGTGGCCAAGATGTCTTCCACAAGATCTCATACAAGTCACATTGGAAGTTTATTTCCCATACAAATGCCCAGATGGCATGTTCGAGAAATTCTCTGTCCGCCAACACAACTACCTGGGCTTCTACAAATCCCATAGGATGGACTGGAAAGATGGTTTGTACGCACAAGTCAGAGGCTGCCGCATCCAGATCTCACGCAGTCAGAGGGAATCTGATTGGGTGATCACTGTAGCCATTCGTGGGAGGAACATAGAGGATCTGTGGCCGCCGCTTCACCGTGCTCACAGCGATTTGATGAGCGTTATTCAGGAGGACTGGCCTGGGGTGTCATATGACAAGTTCCTGGTTTGTCCTCACTGTGTTAAAGAGGGCTTCAACAGACCCCACCTCTTCCCTGGAGAGTTGCTGGACAGACCCCCACCCATCAGTGGAGAAGATGCTGATGTCCCATGTAGAAACTGTGATGATCTTATTGATGCTGGGTTGGTGCATCCAGCTACAAAAGCTGAGATTTGCCACAAAGGTAAGAACATTGGCAACAGAGGTAGGCTGTTTGTCACAAGTACTGTAGGCCATTTCCCACATGGGCATTTTCTGATGTACAAGATTTTATAATTTTCATGATGGAAATTGATATTTATATGTAAGCAAAGTGAGAGTGTTTTTACTGTAACTGTAATCAGTCACTTAGTAAACCCTTCGCTTATTACAATGCATAATATATTTTACAGATTCATTATCAAATTTTTTATTTCATTAAAAAAATTCATACATTCTGGCATGAACCAAACATGCTAATTAAATAATTGACTAATGAACTATAATTTCAGAAATATTGCTTTTTTCCTTTTCATAACTTTAAATCCGCTTAGGTCTTACCAACAGTTTTGGGATCAATAATTTTGGTAATATTGACTAAAATGATAAGTAATACAACTATATTTTCTTGCTGTATTGATTATAACATCTTGAATGTTTCTTTAAATGACCATGTAATAATTTTTCCCAATTTCCAGTATTACTCCAAAACCGAGACATTCTGATAGAAAACATCACAGAGGCATGTCTGCGTGACATACTGAACGTCCTCCAGCAGGAGAAGATTATCACGATCCGGGAAGTTGAGACAGTGAAAGCCGAACCGTCTTCTCCAGTTTCAGACACACCTCCTCCTTCCATCAGAAAACCATCAGCAAGTGGGAAGATGTCAGGTCAGAAATCTCTCAGCAGTGGATATCCAAAATTCAATGGTCTCCCAAGCAAGACTACGATGGGAAATGCCAGGAAAATGCGGCCCGCTTTGGCGGTGGAGAAAACGTCTCGTGTGGTGGCGTTGGGCGGCACTGCCGTGCTGCTGGACATCCTGGGTACGAGAGACGAAAAAGCTCTGTGCTGCCTGTGTGACTGTTTGGAGAGAAATGGACAGGGAGGTCTAGTTGCTCAGATACAGTAAGTCTTCTTTGATAATTGATGAAACGTACGGTGCCTTATTTTAATAGATTAAATTTTTTTCTCATTTATATAGAGCAATGCAGTCTATGTGAGATGATGGTGAAAATATATTATATCACAATTTACAGGAAAAAAAAAACCCATTTGTTTCTCCTCATTGTTTTGGTCTGCTCCCTTTCCCCTTACACCTTGTTCATTTTTCAGAAGTATTTCAGTGAAATAAATATAAAATGATAATAAAACAACATATTTATGACTTAATTCAAGTATTGTATCAGATTTTCCTTTTCATTTTTAATGAATCATTGATTTTAATTGTTCTGTACAAAGCAGTGTGATTTTTTTTCCCAAGCTGTCTTCTCAACTTTGCTGTTTGTTTATATTTCAGGTCCTCTACAGTATATTTCCCAAGGGACTGCAGCACAGACAGATTTGCTTCCAAACCTTGCTGAGATTTCACTGTTGTGCCAGTACAATTAAATGGACAGGTGCTTAAGTGCTAAAAAGTTGAATTGCTAGGGACTTCCATATTATATGTATGGTGATATTCAATCTTTTCAAAGAGGAAAAATTGTGAATTTTACAGATACTGAATTTTTTAAGTCATAGTTTCTTAAAATGATTGCTATTGCGTGGTAGCAACAAAACTGGCTACTCTATCATGCTCTTCAGTGCAGTGAAAGCACCACAAATGCCATATAAAAATATAAATTTTGTGATCATTAAATTATGTCTGAAAGTTTGATCACTTTTGCCCATTGAAAAGATCGAGTAAATACCTTATTATATATTTTAAAAGATTCACAAAATTGCCAAAGAGAGAGAGAGAGAAATACACACACCCGGGTCCACTGACGCGGGCAAACCCAGATTACCAGTTAAGTAAGGGCCTAATTTTTTCCCGTCCCCTATTTATCTCTCTCCCACCCACCCTCCTTATAAGTGACATTTTTAATTGATTATACAGGAGTTTGTGAAAAAGATTGCTTTGGATTGCAATTTAGCTGGTGGGTAATGCTATTCAGTATATTAGGTTTAAAATAATTTTAAAAGGAGGAGTCACTTTATATTTTGGGGGGAGCATTTTTGTTTCTTTAATTTGTTGTATTTCAAAGGGGTAAAACATTTTTATGGCCCATTATTTTGCCTTTTGGCTCTTTTTTTTATCTCTTTTTTAAGACGTGACAGGACAAGTAAGGAAGTACTTTGTTTTTTAAAGGTAGCCATGAGTCCATGACAAATATGCACATATTATAGATGAACTTATATTTACATTTCTACATAGATACTCATCACCTTTTATTTTTAGCAATTTCATGTTGAACAGCAGTTTAAAATGTATGTAAATAACCTTGGGGGACAAGTTTAGAGTCAAGTGACCAATCATATTAGTTCAGTGATGTAAACCAGTTAATCTCAGTTTAGTGAGCATACATTCAGATATTATATTTTTTCAGTAAGGTCTTTTATGGTCTTAGAGTGAAAATTGCTAACATTTTCAAGGGAGTTTTTTCCCCAAAATCTTTAACCATCTGTCATGTCATTACACCATTGAGTGCCTTTGAATTCTTGGTTTATTTTCTTCATGCCAGCCTTGCAGTCCAGTTTAAAACAGTATTATCACAATATTTTTGGGAATTTTACAGATTCTATATTTGACAAACTGCTGGAACATTGTCTTTCTAAAGCAGAGTAATTTATTTTACAGTAATTTTTTTTAAAATGTATAATTGATAAACAGTGAAATATCTCAGTAAGATCCCATTCCCATAGATTTTAGATCGATCTGTCCTTGTGGGGAGTCTCACTAGATTACTGTCAGCTTAGCCAGCTTAAGCGTCTGTCCCGCCTACTAAAAGCTGTAAGGGGTAATTAACTATGGTGGGCACAGCTGACTGCAATTTAGCGAGAACCCCCAGGGAGTTAGATCGATCTAAATTTCTGGGAACGCACCCTAAGATCATTTTCCATTGCCTTAGGTGTGCCGCCTCTAAATATTATTTTGGATTTGTACTTCATATTGTGTTAGGTGAACTTAAAAAACCTGATTGTGTTCTTTAATGCCTTTAGTGTTAGCAAGGGCATGTTTAAGTGATTCAATAGTATCACTGTGTTATTTGTAGTCGGGTAGTTCACCAGTTTGTTAAGTAGAGTCTAAATGTGAATTGAAATGGTTTTGAACAGCAATTACAAAATGCAGTTTAAAATACAAACATCTTAACAGTTATCAGAATTTGCTAAAATGTTGATCAGTTTGTGCTACTTACGGAAAAATCTTGTAAGAAATTTAACTTTGCCTTTCTTCTAGTCAGTGTTTTTCATAATAATCAGCCAAACAAAAATAACACTTCAAATTCCTTTTCATATCAGCTTTATTGAAGACATTTCATCTGCCAGCTTTGCTATGTACACAGTAATAAACATTGGCAGACCACTTCTTCAACATTATGTATCAGCAGAGAAAATTCAGCAATACAATATTTACATGTAAGGAAAAGCTATTCCATTGAAAGCAGACATTCAGTATCAAACATAATAATGAAGCTTCCACAAATATAAATTTAGTAATATTATTATTATTGTACAGAAGCTATTTGTGTTTTCATTGTTTCTAAATATCCATTTTAGACATGTTCAGATGAAGCCTCATCTTGGACACTGACAGGCTTGTCATTAAGCAATAAATCATTAAAAAGCAATTGTCTAAGGGCCTTTTTCTTCAATTTGAGGATCAAATCATACACTCGGTAGTCTTTGAACATTCAAACTCGTCATAAGAAATTACTGATAATGTTATCTAGAATTTTCCTCAATTACTTGAACTAAATTGAAAAGTTCAAATTGTCCATGTGCTACAAACAACTGAGTATGAGATCATTTTCCACAGGCTGGCTCCTAAGTGTTTGATCATCAGTTCTATTGGCAGTGAAACATTTCAGCAAAAGAGGAATTGCAAACAAATGATTAACACTAACAGACAACTAGTACAAATGGTTCTAATAAATGAAAGAAATATTGGCAACACTAATAGCACGATAGGCCAAAATACGTCTCTAACAATGAGGAATTAGGAACAAAGAATTCCTCTAAACCAAACTGAGACAAAGAAAAAGAACCATTTTTTTCCAAAAAAGAATGCAAGCCTGACGAGGATACCAGGGACATAAATTTAATGCCCAAATAACTCGATTCCCAGATAAAACATAGAGGACTTTATCTCTACTGAATGTTTCTCTCATCATAGGTTAACTGTGAATATATCATCTTCATTCTATTGGCTTCAACTGGCACCTCCAACTATTGATTTTGTGATCTTCAAAGCCAAATTAAAGCCCAAGTTATAACACTGTTCTACTTCCATCACTTGAATGCCGTGTCTGTTGTTGAGCACTGCCATTTACAAATGACTCAACTTTCTAGGGGGGAAAAACTGACCCCTGCCCAGAGGAATCCATTTTCTTCATTAAATAATCAAATTGCAATGCGGTAACAAAATCATTGGTTAGGATTACAATTCTACCAAAAAAGCTTTTAATGACTGTCCTGTAATCATTTACAGTGGCAATTTTAATGGTGGACAAGAACTGGCTTTCAACACTAAGCCATTCTCTATCATAAATATCTACATCTATAACTTATAGACGGGTTTAAACGAGCCCTATCCTCACAGCAAAGCTGTCAAGACGCACACAAAAAATCCATATTTATCCATTGACAGCCTTTATAAACACTGTAATTCCATTACTGTTCCAAGCACAGGCTATGATAAAGCATTTAAGGCACATCTTGCAGTATAAAAATTCACTTAAGATAACAAAATTAATGTTGATTTGATTTGGAGGGGGAGACTTGACATCGCGTGGCATACTGCCAGATGTCATGTGTGCCATTCCTTGTTTTACATTGTAGGTATCAAGCTCATCCAATATAATTCCCATACTGAGAACATTCTAGAACTTAATACAATACTAGGACTTAAACATTCTGAATTCTTTTAACATGGTCAAGGGAATGTTGATTTTAGTATACCAAACAAGGACCCAAGCAAATAATAATAATAGCATTGCCTAACTGTTTCCAGTTTGAGGCTAGACACATAACATTTTGAACAAATCCGTTTCAACCTACCTCATACAGATTTCACAGCATAAATTAATGCAATCAACTTTTTGATCTTTTAAAAATAGCACTGGAGTTTCCATTATTCATATGTTGGAAACATTTCAGTTTTAACAAAATTGTATCTAGACCCCTTATTACTTTCTTCAGCATAAAGCACACAATTGGTATTGGACAACAGGCTGTACATGTATCTATTATAACTGCTTTTTACAGTTGCTGACTAAACATATAGTTGCTTTCCACAACTTGCGGTATACTTTAAAGACAGCTGTATTGGTACACTTTGAGACACTACCATAAGAGAGTCACCTAAACTGAGCCCCTGCTCCCGCCACACCCAATAAATCTGTATGCATTCAACATGACCAATAGATGAAATTATTCCTAACAAGTGATAGTAAACTTGAAAAAGCAAGAAAACCCCCTGTAATGGAATTACATACATGTTTGGGCCTCTCAAAATACACCAGTACAGCAATAACACCATTAGATGTGAGAAGAGCCTTATACACTGCCTTATCTCCATATCTCATTAACAGAAAAGAAATTTTGTCGAGTTATAAATCAAGCAACTGCCAACAACGCCATGCATTCAACTTGTCTAACCCAAAGACTGATTTACTTCCAGTCTGAACTGTTTTTAAAAGGAGACTACCACGATTGGGCTTGCACTATACTAGTAGAGTAATGGTAAATAATATGCGTCTCAGCTCAAGCTAAATTGGATAATTTACATCATCCTATGTGAATGACATACATTAAGCTAATCAAAAGCTTTATATCAACAACTGATCCCTGATCAGTGACAAAAAAAACAAACAAAACAGTTTACATTTAATATACAAAACACAACCATATTTGACTTGTAACATAAAGCCACCTGGGCTTTTCAACGGAGTAGTCTTTTTTTTAATCTATTCATAGCGCAGCTGCCTGGGTGATCACCAGCTTCAGTTCATGCGCCGCGTGTGACACATCCACAACACGGTCAACCATTTCTTGGACAGCGGTCAGTGACGGGTACTGAAGCGCCGCAGTCTTGGTTGCTGTGACAGTTGCCTTCAGACAGTCACACAAGTAATTGGCACAGTGCATGATCTTGTTACGAATGTCCGTGCTCATCACATTGCGGTGTAACGTGTCTCCAATGTAGACCAGTTTATGTGCCCCTAGAACGACAAATTTACTGTGTGCTATGAAGACTTTTGGGGGCTGGTTGTATTCAATGCCTCCGAGAAAAGCGTCAATGGCATTGGTGAGGAGACTGGAATGGGACATGACCTGTTCAGCATAAAACAACAATAACTGTTTGTCATTAGGATCCAGCCGTGTCTCAAACTGACTGGTCGATCTCTCCTCTTTAAACTTGGTGATATCAGTGTCAATTTCTCTCTGTACCTCTTTTTCCAGCAGCTGTATTTGTGCCTTCTGTTTGGGCGTAAAGTCTCTTTTCTTCTCTTCCGCCAGCTCCTCCAGGAATTGCTCTTGCTGCTGCCGTTGCTCACGCACTTCAGCAGATTCAAGATGAACATAATCGTAGTCCTCCAAAAACTTTCCACTCTCATCCATGCTCCCTTGGCTGGGCAACTTGTGCACCTTTAACCCTGCCACTGCCTTCAATGGCAACTGGTCTTGCTGGGAACGTGGGCGCTGAGGCGGAGTCGAGGATGGAGGGGGAGGAGGTGGCAAAGGACGCCCCTGCATGTCTGGTTTCCCAGCAACCTTAGGCTTGGGTTTCAATGGGGGTTTCGGCCCTGGTGACTTTCCAGGCGGTGAAAGAGGACTCTTGTCTTTCGATCCGGTGAATGGGACAGGTGGGAGGGGGCGTCCCACCTGCTTGAACTTCCCGCTATCGTCTCTCTCGGCAGGCTCCATCACCCCCTGTTCTCCACCGAGACGTTTGAACAGCAATGTAGAATTACCTTGGATGAAGGAGCCAAGTTTTCTCACGTCACTGGACAGCTCTTTAGATGAGGACACAATCTGACCCAGACTGTCCCCTGATGCCTCCTCTGTACTGACCAGTTTGGCCACCTGCCACTGTAAGGTGTCTAGATTCTTCATGGCTGCGCTTATACTCACCATCGCCCCCTGGAGGGGAGTTAATTGAGTATGGAGCTTTTTGGCAAGAGTTTTGTCGCTAACTTTGGCAGAGTTTGCTAGAGCCCCTTGGGCAAAATCTAAAAACTCCTGTAATGATGTTTTTACTCCCATACAGGCTAGTTTGACATCGTAAATCCTAGGCTCCAGTTTTTCTTTGGTTCTCCACGTGCTGCTCACAAAGCTCAGCAGCCTGGTTGTGGCCTTATGCACGTCCTGCTGCAGCCTGAGCAGCAATTCCATAGCAGCGTCTAAATCCAATGGTAGCTCTTCGTAAGTCACTGAACCAATGTCCAAACCCGATCCCTTGGAATCGTCACTACCTGTTGACAAACGTGCAAATTGCGTGTCCAAACATTCCGCAGAATTTCTGGACAACCTAGTCACATTTGGTGTTGTTTCTGTGTCCTTTGTGACTTGTGGTGGCACATCATACACGTGATTTGGGTCGTGCACACTTTGACTCTGCAGCTTGTGCTGCTTCACAGGTGTATTACGCGGAGTTGTGGCATATATATCCTCTAAAGAATTCTCTTTCTTTAAAGTAGAGCTATCGTAAAGATCCTTTACTTTGGATACAGATANAGTTTACCATCATTTTTACGTAAGATGCAAAGATGCAGGAAGTGTCAAACAAACACTTTTACGTATCTTATTATTAATTAAATAATGAGACTGTTAACATGCCTAAGAATTGAATCTGAGGAAATGTGAAAAAACAGCATAACTTATAAAATAATGGTCCGATTATGCTGATTTTTGAACTTGACTTGCGTTTTAGTAAGATTGATTACTCCTGTGAGTTTCATGACAACAGGCCTATGGGTTTTCCTTGAAATGTGTTAACAGTGTTGCATATATGCTGAAAAGTGAAAAAACAGCATAACTACTAAAATAGTGGCCCGATCATGCCGATTTTTGAACTTGGTCTGCGTTTTAGTAAGATTGATTACTCCTGTGAGTTTCATGACAACAGGCCTATCAGTTTTCCTTGAAATGTGTTAACAGTGTTGCATATATGCTGAAAAGTGAAAAAACCGCATAAATTCTACAATAATGGCCCGATCATGCTGATTTTTTTAATTGACCTGTGTTTTATGAATATTCATCAGCTCTGTAAATATAAAGCCAAAAAGTAAAACTGTCTTCCATTTATGGTGTTAACGCTGAAAGTGCACGGCGACATGATCGGCGACAACAGACACAGGTGATGGCAATATGTACAGACACATCTGTGTCTGTACATAAAAAATGTATAATTGATAAACAGTGAAATACCTCAGTAAGACCCCATTCCCATAGATTTTAGATTACTGTCAGCTTAGCCTGCTTAAGCGTCTGTCCCGCCTACTAAAAGCTGTAAGGGGGTAATTAACTATGGTGCGCGCTCGGCTGACTGCAATTTAGCGAGAACCCCCAGGGAGTTAGGTCGATCTATATCTAAATCTCTGGGAATGCACCCTAAGATCATTTTCCATTGCCTTAGGTGTGCCGCCTCTAAAAATTATTTTGGATTTGTACTTCATATTGTGTTAGGTGAACTTAAAAAAACCTGATTGTGTTCTTTAATGCCTCAATGTTAGCAAGGGCATGTTTAAGTGATTCAATAGTATCATTGTAGTATTTATAGCCGGGTAGTTGACCAGTTTGTTAAGTAGAATCTAAATGTGAATTGAAATGGTTTTGAACAGCGATTACAAAATGCAGTTTAAAATACAAACATCTTAACAGTTATCAGAATTTGCTAAAATGTTAATCAGTTTGTGCTACTTATGGGAAAATCTTATAAGAAATTTAACTTTGCCTTTCTTCTAGTCAGTGTTTTTCATAATAATCAGCCAAACAAAAATAACACTTCAAATTCCTTTTCATATCAGCTTTATTGAAGACATTTCATCTGCCAGCTTTGCTATGTACACAGTAATAAACATTGGCAGACCACTTCTTCTTCTTCTTCAACATTATGTATCAGCAGAGAAAATTCAGTAATACAATATTTACATGTAAGGAAAAGCTATTCCATTGAAAGCAGACATTCAGTATCAAACATAATAATGAAGCTTCCACAAATATAAATTTAGTAATATTATTATTATTATTGTAAAGAAGCTATTTGTTTTCATTGTTTCTAAATAACTGTGACGTCTAAATATCCATTTTAGACATGTTCAGATGAAGCCTCATCTTCGACACTGACAGGCTTGTCATTAAGCAATAAATCATTAAAAAGCAATTGTCTAAGGGCCTTTTTCTTCAATTTGAGGATCAAATCATACGCTCGGGTAGTCTTTGAACATTCAAACTCGTCATAAGAAATTACTGATAATGTTATCTAGAATTTTCCTCAATTACTTGTACTAAATTGAAAAGTTAAAATTGTCCATGTGCTACAAACACAACTGAGTATGAGATCATTTTCCACAGCCTGGCTCCCAAGTGTTTGATCATCAGTTCTATTGGCAGTGAAACATTTCAGCAAAAGAGGAATTGCAAACAAATGATTAACACTAACAGACAACTACTACAAATGGTTCTAATAAATGAAAGAAATATTGGCAACACTAATAGCACGATAGGCCAAAATACGCCTCTAACAATTAGTAATTAGGAACAAAGAATTCCTCTAAACCAAACTGAGACAAAGAACCATTTTTTTCCAAAAAAGAATGCAAGCTTGACGAGGATACCAGGGGCATAAATTTAACCCCCAAATAACTCAATTCCCAGATAAGACATAGAGGACCTAAATCTCTACTGAATGTTTCTCTCATCATAGGTTAAATGTGAATATATCATCTTCATTCTGTTGGCTTCAACTGGCACCTCCAACTATTGATTTTGTGATCTTCAAAGCTAAATTAAAGCCCAAGTTATAATACTGTTCTACTTCCATCACTTGAATGCCGTGTCTGTTGTTGAGCACTGCCATTTACAAATGACTCAACTTTCTAGGGGGGAAAAACTGACCCCTGCCCAGAGGAATCCATTTTCTTCATTAAATAATCAAATTGCAATGCGGTAACAAAATCATTGGTTAGGATTACAATTCTACCAAAAAAGCTTTTAATGACTGTCCTGTAATCATTTACAGTGGCAATTTTAATGGTGGACAAGAACTGGCTTTCAACACTAAGCCATTCTCTATCATAAATATCTACATCAATAACTTATAGACGGGTTTAAACGAGCCCTATCCTCACAGCAAAGCTGTCAAAATGCACACAAAAAAATCCATATTTATCCAATGACAGCCTTTATAAACACTGTAATTCCATTACTGTTCCAAGCACAGGCTATGATAAAGCATTTAAGGCACATCTTGCAGTATAAAAATTCACTTAAGATAACAAAATTAACGTCGATTTGATTTGGAGGGGGAGACTTAACACAGCGTGGCATACTGCCAGATGTCATGTGTGCCATTCCTTGTTTTACATTGTAGGTATCAAGTTCATCCAATATAATTCCCATACTGAGAACATTCTAGAACTTAATACAATACTAGGACTTAAACATTATGAATTCTTTTAACATGGTCAAGGGAATGTTGATTTTAGTATACCAAACAAGCAGATAATAATAATAATAATAGCATTGCCTAACTGTTTCCAGTTTGAGGCTAGACACATAACATTTTGAACAAATTTGTTTCAACCTACCTCATACTGTCATACAGATTTCACAGCATAAATTAATGCAATCAACTTTTTGATCTTTAAAAAATAGCACTGGAGCTTCTATTATTCATATGTTGGAACCATTTCAGATTAAACAAAATTGTATCTAGACCCCTTATTATTTTCTTCAGCATAAAGCACACAATTGGTATTGGACAACAGGCTGTATCTATTATAACTGCTTTTTACAGTTGCTGACTAAACATATAGTTGCTTTCCACAACTTGCGGTATACTTTAAAGACAGCTGTATTGGTACACTTTGAGACACTACCATAAGAGAGTCACCTAAACTGAGCCCCTGCTCTCGCCAAACCCAATAAATCTGTATGCATTCAACATGACCAATAGATGAAATTCTTCCTAACAAGTGATAGTAAACTTGTAAAAGCAAGAAAACCCCCTGTAATGGAATTACATACATGTTTGGGCCTCTCAAAATACGCCAGTACAGCAATAACACCATTAGATGTGAGAAGAGCCTTGTACACTGTGCCTTATCTTCATATCTCATTAACAGAGAAGAAACTTTGTCGAGTTATAAATCAAGCAACTGCCAACAACGCCATGCATTCAACTTGTCTCAACCCAAAGACTGATTTACTTCCAGTCTGAACTGTTTTTAAAAGGAGACTACCACGATTGGGCTTGCACTCTACTAGAGTAATGGTAAATAATATGCGTCTCAGCTCAAGCTAAATTGGATAATTTACATCATCCTATGTGAATGACATACATTAAGCTAATCAAAAGCCTTATATCAACAACTGATCCCTGATCAGTGACAAAAAAACAAACAAAACAGTTTACATTTAATATACAAAACACAACCATGTTTGACTCGTACATAAAGCCACCTGGGCTTTTCAACGGAGTAGTCTGTTTTTTAATCTATTCATAGCGCAGCTGCCTGGGTGATCACCAGCTTCAGTTCATGCGCCGCGTGTGACACATCCACAACACGGTCAACCATTTCTTGGACAGCGGTCAGTGATGGGTACTGAAGTGCCGCAGTCTTGGTTGCCGTGACAGTTGCCTTCAGACAGTCACACAAGTAATTGGCACAGTGCATGATCTTGTTACGAATGTCCGTGCTCATCACATTGCGGTGTAACGTGTCTCCAATGTAGACCAGTTTATGTGCCCCTAGAACGACAAATTTACTGTGTGCTATGAAGACTTTTGGGGGCTGGTTGTATTCAATGCCTCCGAGAAAAGCGTCAATGGCATTGGTGAGGAGACTGGAATGGGACATGACCTGTTCGGCATAAAACAATAATAACTGTTTGTCGTTAGGATCCAGCCGTGTCTCAAACTGACTGGTTGATCTCTCCTCTTTAAACTTGGTGATATCAGTGTCAATTTCCCTCTGTACCTCTTTTTCCAGCAGCTGTATTTGTGCCTTCTGTTTGGGCGTAAAGTCTCTTTTCTTCTCTTCTGCCAGCTCCTCCAGGAATTGCTCTTGCTGCTGCCGTTGCTCACGCACTTCGGCAGATTCAAGATGGACATAATCGTAGTCCTCCAAAAACTTTCCACTCTCATCCATGCTCCCTTGGCTGGGCAACTTGTGCGCCTTCAACCCTGCCACTGCCTTCAATGGTGACTGATCTTGCTGGGAATGAGGGCGATGAGGCGGGGTGGAAGATGGAGGGGGAGGAGGTGGCAAAGGACGCCCCTGCATGTCTGGTTTCCCTGCAACCTTGGGCTTGGGTTTCAATGGGGGTTTCGGCCCTGGTGACTTGCCAGGCGGTGAAAGAGGACTCATGTCTTTCGATCCGGTGAATGGGACAGGTGGGAGGGGGCGTCCCACCTGCTTGAACTTCCCGCTATCGTCTCTCTCGGCAGGCTCCATCACCCCCTGTTCTCCACCGAGACGTTTGAACAGCAATGTAGAATTACCTTGGATGAAGGAGCCAAGTTTTCTCACATCACTGGACAGCTCTTTAGATGAGGACACAATCTGACCTAGACTGTCCCCTGATGCCTCCTCTGTACTGACCAGTTTGGCCACCTGCCACTGTAAGGTGTCTAGATTCTTCATGGCTGCGCTTATACTCACCATCGCCCCCTGGAGGGGAGTTAATTGAGTATGGAGCTTTTTGGCAAGAGTTTTGTCGCTAACTTTGGCAGAGTTTGCTAGAGCCCCTTGGGCAAAATCTAAAAACTCCTGTAAGGATGTTTTTACTCCCATACAGGCTAGTTTGACATCGTATATCCTAGGCTCCAGTTTTTCTTTGGTTCGCCACGTGCTGCTTACAAAGCTCAGCAGCCTGGTTGTGGCCTTGTGCACGTCCTGCTGCAGCCTGAGCAGCAATTCCATAGCAGCGTCTAAATCCAGTGGCAGCTCTTCGTAAGTCACTGAACCAATGTCCAAACCCGATCCCTTGGAATCGTCACTACCTGTTGACAGGCGCGCAAATTGCATGTCCAAACATTCTGCAGAATTTCTGGACAACCTAGTCACATTTGATGTCGTTTCTGTGTCCTTTGTGACTTGTGGTGGCACATCATACACGTGATTTGGGTCGTGCACACTTTGACTCTGCAGCTTGTGCTGCTTCACTGGTGTATTACGCGGAGTTGTGGCATATATATCCTCTAAAGAATTCTCTTTCTTTAAAGTAGAGCTGTCGTAAAGATCCTTTACTTTGGATACAGATATTGAAGTCCTCTCACTCTCCAGGATTGAATTTGCTTTGTTCAGGTTTCCTTTCACAGCTTTGGGGGGTGGTGGGGTACTGTATATACCCTCCTCAACTGGGGGAGGGTGGTCATAATCATTGTACTCCATTTGCAGCTGTTCTCCTTGTTTTTTACTTGGGGGCGAGTCATATATATCCAGCAATGGTTCAGAGTTGGATTTCTTCATTGTACCCCGAGGATCGTGGGGTGGTATGTCGTAGAGATCATGGTAGGATATGTCAGTACTGGAACGCGCTGAGCCAGATTGCTGGGCGCTGGAAGCCTCACTTGAGCAATTAGTTGATCCTGTAGAAAGCATAGAGATTGTACTAGAGCGATTTGATGAAGGATTTGGCCTGTCGTACACATCCAACATCGCATTAGGCGACACACCTTGATTTGTGGGTCTGTCATACACATCTCTTTCGGGGCTAAGTCTTTTGGATGTCGGCAACGAACTCGGTGTGCTGTACAAACTGTCATTGCCCCGGGAAGGTGGAATACTGTATGTGGGTTCCTCAGGGCTGATTGAGTTTGGAACGCTGTAGTTTCCTTCCGAGTCTTGGCTGCCATCTTGCCCAGCAGCTGATGGGAAGTACCGCGAGGGTGGGACATCGTAGTCCTGGTAGCCTTTGTTGGGTTGATCGTACACGTAGACCTCACCAATCTTGTGGGGTGTGACAATCTGCATGATAGAAAGTGTGTGAATTAGATGACAAATTCAATGTTTTTTTTTTTTTTTTTTTTGAGAGAGAGATTTAAGTGAATAAAATTCTTTGTCATGATAATGCATTTTCAAACTCTCTAAAACAGCAAGAAAAGGAACCACTGTAACAACTAGTCGCAGCAATTTGAAATTTCAAAGGGACAATAACAGTTACGCAAGCATACTAAAGTAAGGTCTTCCATCTTAAAACAATGTCCTCAAGTTAATCTAATTTAGCTTAAACAGTTTACTTGTCCATTTTTTAAGGAGGGCATTTCTGATAAAAACAACACGGCAAGACTACACAATGAGGACCTCCATTCCCATCCTCTCACAACAGTGAACTCATACATCCATTCATTAACACCATCTCTTATCCCTCCACATTACTCAAATAGTTAACAACCAACTTGAACATGTTTTGTACATTCAGGTTCTGCACAATAATATAAAAGAACCACAACAATAGAGACTGATCATACTTTTTAATACAATGAAGCTCTCATGCCTTCTTTTATCCCATAATGAAACATCCAACTTCGTCATCCATTAACACAATTATCTACTCCTACATATCCCTGCTTCACTTACAACCATGTACAGACTAGTACAGTATTCCACCACTTTATGCGTAATAGAGTAAATTAACCCAGTGAGCACCTTTAGGGGAAAAATAGATCTATTAATGCCCTTGTTTAAAAGCGAACAATTCTGCAATTTCCATTTATAGTGCTCTTTGGTGAGAATGATATGATAGTACAAGTCTTTTGTTTTTATGTGAGAGAGAGAGAGAGAGAGAGAGAGAGAGAGTGTGTGTATGTGTGTGTGTGTGTGTGTGTGTGCGTGTGTGTTGCAGTTGTTCATGCATTAAGAGAGGGGGGGATGTATTTCTAATCAAAGCTAATGTTCATGCAAAGAAAGTTTGACTGTATGTGTGTGCATCATTGTTCAAGCCTGTTCAAGCATGAGAGAGTAAAAGAAAGAATTCTGTCTACTATTTCTACCCAATGCACATATCTCATACACAAGCGCCCTCCAAGCTTCATGGGAACCAGTTCCAAACATACACAGAACCACTGCAAACCATGGTCACTTCCACATCAGTGACTAATATCCAAGTTCTGCAGGAAAGAACAAAAGGCCACAGATTCCTGTTTTTAATTCTTTCAGCATGGTTGACCAGAAGAAGTCAAGACCTCTGAAATCTTACTCTGGGAAAGAGAGAGAGGTAGGGTAAATCCTCACAACTTTCAAACACCTTACTTATTCCAACATTTCCTTCTTTTTTCCCAATACTCTTCATTTTTGAAACCAGCAAAATATACAAGGACTTTCTGATATAAACCTTTCTTTGTTTCAAAGAATCATACCAAAAGAAAAAAGATATTGTTTCTGAGTAATGTATTAAAAATCAGTTTTGCTTAAATTTAGCCAGTAATTACCGTAAACCCTTTATCGGAGCTCAAATAAATGGCTCCCTCCTTTTCTTGAAGGTCTGCTGTTATCACAGCCCAGCAGCTACATCAGTTATGTCAGACAGGGCATGAAAAAATGTCAGTTGCCCAAAAATGGTGAATTGCACTTCATCTTTCTATGCTGTCGAGCACAGCATACAATTTGTAAAGTTTGGATCAAATTCGATGTTTTGCGTGATAGCAACAAAAGCTAGTAAATCAATGGTGTTGGCATGTTGCAGGTGCTTCACTTAACCCCCCCCCCCCCACTATTTTTTATGAGTGCATGGGATAAAGATACAATAGGGATATTTTGCTGAATATTTTCAGATCTTTTCTTCACATATTATTTCAGATATATTTTATAAATATTTATATTTTTTATAAATATAGATATATTTGTTGTTTTCTTTTTTTTTTCAATGAATGTAATTTTCTATGTATATGGGGGGGGGGGGAGGGAGAGAAGAGAGGACACTGCTTTACAATCACTTGAACCACTTAAGAAACTTGTTTTTAAAAAGAACAGTACCAAAATGGTGACACAGGAGAATATATTATCACAGACAGTTATGAATTCCTAAAGCTGAATCATCACTCCTTCAATTCTTCGTGCAATTCAAAACAAAAAAACATTTCATTAATCACAAATGTCTCCAATACTTCAACAGCACATACTATAGCTGGTGTTTACTAGGAGCGTGAAATTAAAATATTTTTTCATTAGCATCATGCACTTTTCCTGCGGAGTTGACAATCTTTAATGGCAACCGCAGACAGGTGCATTCCTACACACACTGCATTGAGCACAATAAAAGAAAGGCCCACAGTCTACAGTGGTTGCATCCCGCTGCGACATCTGACTCAAGACACAGAAAATGAATGTAAAAGCTGACAAGTCTTTCTACTTACATTACAAAGTTACGAGTTGACTTGTAGTGTTCAGTATGAGTACGGAAATATTTGATTGCCACTAAAACATTTTTTATATTTAAAAAAAAAAGCTCACATAGTTTTGCTGGAAAAGACCTAGGCTGTCAATGGCTGGTACTGTTTGCTGTGACAGCCAAATTATAGCACAAAATAAGTCATCAAAATAGACAGGATATTACTGACATCAGAATATGTTCAACCATTGCAAATCAGGCCAGGGTTGTACTTTTAAACAGTCAATATCTTTTTTGTGTGTGAATACCTCTAATGATCCATAGAGCGAGCCTTGCTGTCAACTCAGTTGACAGCAGAGTTAACCACCTGATGAGACATCTGAATTTTGACATGAAATAAGATCTGCCTGAAATGAGACAGTAAAATGCAGAGCACGAATATGTTACAAACTCCTTTATATAATCCTGTAATGTTATAATGCAAAGTTGGGACTTCTATAGAGCGCCTTTTTGCTATCATTTTTTCCAAGTTTGAAGCTCACAATAGGAGCAAGTTGTTCCCAAATTTTGATATCTTATAAGTGTATCATGCATTTTAACAAAGGACAGTCAAAACCACATATATATTTTACTGAATGTCCTCATCACTCTTAAAGCTGTCTTAGAATGTTAACACAGAACTGATTTACTGTAGTCGGCTTTTTTTTTTTCTTTTTTTTTTTTTTTAATGAAACAGGCCTAGGTTCTGGGTGACCTGCCTGAGGCGAAATCTTCAGTGTATCTCATCACTAAATCTTGTTAAACCTAACAAAACTGATACATCCAAATCTACCAGATACTGTTTTTGAATCTGTGTGTGCCATTTCACTTTGGTGTAGATATACAGTGAAAACATGAACTAAGCCCCCACCACTAGCAGTGAAGTCACTGGACAGCAACGTGAATCTTACAAATCAAAACTTTCTTTGTTTTTACACAACTGGTGATACAGCAAAGTTTAGCTGCCATCTGACAGCTAATAGAAGTGACACGTGTTGGCAGCAGAGAGAGAGAGAGGGGGGAAAAAAAGAAAAACAACAACAACAACACAAGAATAAATTTAGGACTCTTCCTCAGGAACCATGGTCCTTAGCCATCCTATCAAGTCCATGTGCCAGTATATAAATGTAACATTTTACACAATGCTTAATTTAATTAAATCTATCTTTAATTGGAAAAAAAAAAAAACTTTTACATGGACTTGGAGAAATATCATTTAATTTGATAAAATAAAAAATGCATTTGACTGATCTCAGATCCAGATTTTTTTTAACTTCAGCATTTGTATACAATCTGGTCCAAAAATCAACACATTTTCAATTCCAATCCCCATGTTTTTTTTGTTTTTTTTTTCTTTTCTTTTCCCCGGCTCGGGATGAACTAATGCAGTTGACTTTTTTTATTGCTGTAAGATAATCTGATTTATTTACACATAAATAGTAGGAACTTGTAGCCAGAATAGACCACCATGTCAAATGTTAAGTGAAGGTTGCTGTTAGTGAGGCAATCCACTGAATACAAAATACAAACCCATCGCATTGCGCCAATACAAAACAACGGCCATAAATCTGATGGTGCCGAATACTAATTGTCTGTGTTAATCTTTTGCCAGGGAATGACTCATACTTACCTCCAGCATATATTCTCGATTAAGCTTATTGTTATCATTTCCCTATTAACAGAGCGGGCTTTGTTGAAAAAATATACTGAGCCAATAAAGGGAAAGAGCTCAAACAAGAGTGATTTCCTACCGTTGTAGACATAGTCCCATTATTAGTCATAAAAAAATTCACTTTGACAAATAAAAAGCCATTTGTTTCAAATGTGAATGAGAATCATTCAATATTATAACCTGGCTCATGTAAAATTTACATTGCCAAATCGAATTTGATAATATGCAGTGCTGAGTTTTTAATATGCCGAAGAATAAAGCCTGTGTGTGTTTGAAAGATTTTTTCTCCTCGACATCTGGAGCACAAATTTTAAAGCAAGTCAGAAAACTAAAATATGCATCTAAATGATTTTAACAGATGTCTCTTAGAATATTTCATCAAATTTTGGAATCAAATGGATTTTCCCTCTATGTAACCTGAGGATTAAACAATAATCTCAAATATACATTAATAGTATACACAATCCACCACATTATCATAGCTAAATATATAAAAAACAGGTAAATAATTTCAGAAAATAGTCTTTGAGGTTAAACAAAGGATCCCACCTAGTCACAATTTTTCAATTAATAAGTTGTAACAAGTCTCTGAATAATTGAATTCAACCTCATATCCTGGTGAATTAATGTAATCTTGTTTCATTGAGATGATTAATCAAAAAAAATTTACACCTAATTTTGCTTTTTTTTTTCACACAAGACTGCTCTTGAATAATTTCACACCTTGCCTTCCATAGTACTACAAGTGGCAATTTACTATGATTCACTTCTGTTATAAGAAATAGTAGCAAATTAACACCCTGCCAATGAGGCTGAAATGAGGATATAATGATTCATATGCTTTGTAGAGACTGATAGAGCTTATTTCCCTATGATTACCAATGTGATAAACAAATAATAATAAATTTGTGATATTATGTTTAGAAA